TGTTACAAGGTTGTTCTACCAAGTCCGATACAGTCACGATATATCGAGAATGTTACAAGGTTGATGGCACAAGGTTGTAACCAGGCCTCGAATTTCACTGAAATCAATCGACGGCAACGGCGTTAGAAAAAACGTAACAGCTGTCTACGGCAATTTTGGCAGTTTCCACGGCATTTTTTTCAAATTAATAAAAATTTAAGTTTATTGTTACTTTGGATTGTTGACAAGCTAGAAACATGTTTACGTATTTCTTTAAGTGTTTTTTTTTTCAAAGAAAACTGAGACTAAAATAGTAATTTACGCATGATTTGATCAACATCTGAATTCAAGTATCAAAATAGTAACGCACAGTGAATAGTATAAAAATTACACTATACGGCAAAAAATTGCCGTCGTTGCCGCAATAATCCACGGCATTTTTTTCTCCCTCTACGGCGATTGCCGCGATAATATTCGAGCCCTGGTTGTAACAGTATTGTTATATCATGACTGTATCCGACTTGTTGGAACAACCTTGCAACAAGTCTGATAATATCAGCAGGATTGTTACAAGTTGTTAACAGCTTGTTCCTTACTTGTTGACGGCTTGTTGGCAGACTTGTTACAAGATGTGAGATTTTTGTGTGTGCCCCTGCATGGCTGAGAACAAACGAGTACCAGGTCATAATATTGGCGTGCCTCTGGTATGTAAGTACGCAAATTGTCGCACCCTATATTACTTCTTCAGCTTGGGCAAATATGCCCAGATGGCAGAGTTGTCTCTGGTATAAATCAGGGCATTATATATAACAGTCAAAGTAAATGTGATGGTTTTCTATCACTGTAGACGCCGACCAAAGGACAAATCACTCTATATGATCCAAGTCAAGTTGGTTCCTTCCATGGTGATTTTGGTGGTGGTTTTAACCAAGGTGGTGGTTATGGTGGTGGACGTGGCGGCCGGGGTCGTGGTGGTAGAGGTGGGGGACGAGGTAGGGGTGGAGGCCGAGGGTTTGGTGGACGTGGTGGGAACCTTGGTGGTGGTGGTGGTGGTGGTGGTGGAAACCTTGGTGGTGGTGGTGGTCCAAGTTTTGGTCCTGGACCCATGATGGATGATGGTGGTCCTGTTGGATTGTTTAGTGGAGGACAAATGGTAAGTCAAGATAAGTCACTGAGCTGTATATATTTCTGGAGTAAGAACTTCAGTCATTTGGCCTATGAGAAAAGCGACGCCAACTAGATGGCGGCCATTGATGTCCAATAGCTATGAAGGTCATAAACAGCTTTTATACCATTTTCCCCCCAGCTAATTCCAGTTTTCAGTTCATAAAATCATTATTCTTTAAATCGATGTCAAAATACGAAATTTCGGTATTAGATGTATTACAGCCAGCCAGGTTTCGATCGTTAGCCCTTGTTAGTCAGCGAACGTTTTCTACTTCTAACAATGTATTTACTTTGAACATGCTTAATCAATCCAGTGTTTGCTGCAATGTTTTTTAATTTATACTTATGTATGTCTATGTAAGGTTTTAATTAATGTAAGGTTGAACTAGTATGTTCTTTTGTCTTGAACGTTTTACAGCCTGGCGATTTCCCTGTGGATAACTTCAACCCCAACCCTGGTGTCCAGCAATTTGATCCAAACAGCACCACAACACAAGTTACCATACCCAAAGATGTAAGTTTTTATCATTTTTCACAATCATAAATAATTTTTGTCACTAAACTATAAATCTATTTGTTTTTGTGGAAAACATCGACAAAGCTTTCGATTAGTGAGTATTAGTGAGTCCTGATCTTTAAGTGTATAGATGATATAAAACAAGATGGCAATTCGCGTGTGAAATCCAGTGTATTGGTCGAATTGTCGAAAGGTTTCCATAGTCCGGCTCAAAGAGCTGTCTCATATTACAAGAAACGTTCTATGTTTTACATTCTTATTTGTTAGTTGGCTGGATCTATCATTGGTCCTGGAGGAAACAGAATTAACAGAATCAGGTATGATCATGCGTGAAATGAATATGCCTTGTACGAGTTTTATGACACTACCTCTGCAAGTGAGATTCGATTCCTCTAATATGTAGTTTTCTGGTGATATAAGTAAAGCCGTATTCGCGTATCCGGTCTTCCAGTAGTAACATCTAGACCAAGAAGAAAAGCTCTTACTTTGAACCCTAGGGAAAACAGTTTACAACTGGTTGAGCTATTCAGTATAAATGAAGTTTCTTAATATTCTTCTAACTAGGCGTGATACTGGCGCAAATGTCAAGATTGATGAACCAATGCCTGGATCCAACGATCGTATTATAACAATCAGCGGAACACAAGATCAGATCAACCACGCTCAATACTTAATGCAAAAATGGTTTGTATTGTTTGTGTTACACTATATTTTACTACAGTTGTGTGCGAACTTGTTCCATTACCAAGGTTCATCTGGCCTGATTTGTTAGACCGGGTGGAGGTTTTCCAAAGTGCATTGCGGGGGTCCGGCAGCGTTCTCCCCCAGAACATTTTAAAATTTGAAGCCCTGAAATGCCATTTCCTGCATTTTGAGCACTACGTTTATTCGTTAAATTTGTCTTCACAGTGCTTGTATTTCGGGCAAAAATTGAGAAAAGTGCTACGTTACATGGTGACGCGCCCGTATTGGTGCTTGAATATTTTCTCGTGTATACTCGAAAATCAATCGTTTCATTATATGGGTAGTATACACAACTCAAATATGGAATACTAGAGTTTTCTTCAGGGAGGTCTGGATACCACTGGGGGGGAGTGCGCATCCCTCTGCACCCCACCGGTAGATCCTCCCCTGTCCATTGCTATCCGGAATCAAGCGATGCACTCTCATCCTTGCTTGAACTGGACTTAAGCAAAATTACTAAAAAAAATTTGTATTTGAACCAAATGCAAATCTAGTTAATACGAACGAATCAATATTTCCCTCACTTTCATGGCATTGTGTAGTTAGTTAGTTAGTTAGTTAGTTCGTTACTGTAGTTAGTTAGTTAGTTAGTTAGTTAGTTAGTTAGTTAGTTAGTTAGTTAGTTAGACTTTAAACAGCATTTACATAAACCTTTTCAGTGAAGAATACACTGCTATCAATAAGGGTCCTGTTCTAGCAATAATTAACTAATAATTAATTGGTAGTATGTTCTATAATATGTTCATAAGAACTGTAGTTCCAAAAATTGCCTCAAGGCAGATCGGAAAGATTACAAAAAAATTTCCAGCTTTTTTTGCATGTTGTCATTAAACAAACTGCAGCTTGTGTTATTCTTTGTTTAGATTTTCCGACTCTGCCGTTCATGAACAGGTTCTAATACTGCATTGTTTATTTTCAGCGTTCGTGAGTACTCTGGCAAGAAGTTCTAAGCTTTTCCAGTTTTGAAAAGTGTAAATAGAGTGGTTCGAAGAACAGCAGTTGAAGACTGACAAGATCCCTCGTATTTTTATTACACCTATATCACAGACAGCCCATATACCACTGATTTTAATCCACATAGTCTTAGTTACATTTTTTGTCTTTTAGTTATGTATTCATAGCGAATTAATAAACATGGCGTTAAACCGCTTTCACGAAGATGCGTAAAAAATCATTGCGTGGTAATATGGCGGAATCCGTGGGGGAAACGAAACTCCATTTGACCATTTTGAAACCTTCAAAAATACTCATTGGTTCATAGTCGTACTTGCCTCTCCGAAAGTTACCCTAATGTTTTTGTACCTTCTCCCTAAACGATTGTTTCATAAAATATCTACTTGATTTTTATTCAGTCTTACAACTACATTGAGTCTTTTATGTATACAATTACGTATGCAATTACACAAAATGTCATTCTAAAATCTACGATCTCCGTTTATAGTTCTACTGTTCGACATAAAGGTTGTTACTAAGACTAAATATTCCATTGTAATCTGTCTTTGATTTTTACGATCCGTAAAACGTGTCTATTATATCATTATTTACTACAGTCTGTAATGTAGGCATAACTTTACTGCCAACTGGTAAACCAGAATTCTCCGGTAACAATGCGTCGTTAAATCTTGGATTACCGGAACCTGTAGGGTTTACTATAATGTATTTCCAATGGCAGTGTGTTACAATCAGACCACAGACTTACGATTTAGATTTGTAATAGAAAAGATTTCGGAATACAGTACAACTGGTTACATTTTCAGGTTATTTTTCCATAAGCCTGTGGTTTTAAGACACTGGAAAATCATTGTTAATTGAATAAAATACTCGAGTAAGTGCACAAAGAAAAAGTTTCGTATTATTAACTAAGGGGTGGGCCATTATAGATATCCCAGGGGGAGGGGGGGTGAGGGGTGGACTTTTTAGCCGAATAAGACCCTGGATAGGAGGTTGAAATTTTCCTTGCAAAAGTTTTTTTAAAGGGAAATGGCAATATATTTTTTTATTTTCTCGTTTGAAAGAACTTTTGAAACTATTTAATAACTTCTTTTACCGATCACAACAGGGATTGACCATATAAAAGTATTCGTTGCTGACCAAATATTGATTGGAAGATGTTTTAAAGTTTTCAAGTGATCTTGATATTTCCAAGGGCATACAGAGTATAATTTTGAGTGGAAAATGATTAGTGGTTGTCTAGATAGAAATATTCCGTGATCCCTGTTGTGACGTAACATGCATATCTACAAAAATTCAAGATGGCGGACATTTCATTTCTTTCGATTAAAATATTTGTAGAAGTAAGCAAGGTATGAAAAAACGGTAAAAGAGTTTTATATATGCTTTTTAATGTTCTTTCAAACGAGGAAATAAAAAAATATATTGCCATTTCCCTTTAAGTTAACTTTTTTACGGTGTAGAAACTGTGCATGAGTTTTTAAAAAGAATTTTCTGTATATTCTATGACCGTAGTTGCAAGGGTTTTTCAAATTCTACTCTGCATGAATTTGTTTCTGAAATCTGTCCACCCCTTCCCAGGATATCTACTGGTCCACTCATAATGCCAGACTCACTCGCTTTGCTGATTATAGATTTGCAGTTAGGGCTTGTTGAATGTTGCTACGGTTTGGATCGTTAACTTAAGGAAACCAAGATCCTGTACCACTCTAAGAACATCGATAACAAGAGAATCGTATGACTGTAGGAAAATATTTCTGTCAAGATACCCTTGTGCCACTGGCGATCTTTCTTGCTTGTGAGCGTATGCATTTCTGATAAATCGTAGCAAATCGATTACTTCATCAGTTCTATACTTCTTTTGTTTCCAAGTTGTGGTGATTTCTGCAAACAAGGCATAGATTAGAGGATGAAGGTTCCACTCGACAACCTGCACTATCTGGCCAATTTTTGTCGTCTGCAAACGTTGCTCCAATGGCGAGTTGGGGTGTTTGGTTGGACTGATAGCTTCTGGTTGGTCACCAACTGCTTTAAGAAATTCGATCTTTTTTCTCTCGCTCCAAAGGAAAGGATGCTGGTGGAGGAATTTCGCTGGCGTACGCTTGGAAGGATCTTTGCTCAAAAGCGTCTGAAAAAAATTAGCGGCTTCGGGATGAAACGTGAATATAACCTGTGTCTGTACGATCCTTTGTTCAATAACGTAGGGTGGTATTACAGTTCCTGTTTCAAAAGGATGTTTGCCCAGAGTGAAAAAATAATAGAGCACCAGACCCAAGGAAAAGATATCTGACTGTTGGGTATGCTCTGTTGATTTCATGCTGATCAGCTCTGGCGCCATCCAACATCGCGTACCCGGTGCCATGGCAACATAATTCGCACTGGATATAGAGTCTATATTCTTCGTCAGTCCAAAGTCGGCGATCTTGAATTGCAATGTTGGGTTTGTTGTATACAGGATGTTTCCAGGCTTGAGATCGCGATGAATGAACCCTTGCTCGTGAAGAAATTCTAAACCATTGATAATCTGTTTCATAAGTTGCACACTTAACGCTGTATTGACACCGTTTGTGACAAACTCTTCAAGATCACCGTCCATCAATTCAAGACAGATGTACTGGTAAAACTTGTCATGCGAGTGTTCTACTAATCCATAATATCTGACGATATTCTCATTCCTGTTAGAAAGTGATATTAACGTTTTGACTTCACTTGTGATTTCTTTTGGATTGACTTTCGCCTTTTCCACCCGTTTCAAAGCGAACAAATTACAGTGCATAATGCCAGACCGTTCGTCCAAATGCTCATCTTTGATTGCCAGGAACACTGAACTGAAAGCTCCAGATCCAATTGGCAAGTGATGAAAATAACGATACTTTCCCACAACAGTAACGGTGTCCTCTGTGCCTATGGTTTTAGCAAGGTCCGTTGCATTTTGAAGATGACTTTCCGGACAACGAGATCTTACTTGACGCTTACATGGCTCTGCACGACGAGCCCCATTCTGAACAAGCTTGTTAATGATTTCGTCATAGAATGGTGGCTGAATGTAATTAAAAGTGCATGCAATATCTAAAGGCGTCTGTCCGTCTATCTACAGCGTTCACCTCGACTCTTTGTTGAAGAAGTGCATCTAGACTTTCAATAATTGCTGTGTTGACGCATTCAAGATCACCAATTCTTGGATGTATATTCAACAACGTATGCAAAGCGAAAGGATTTCGAATTTCGTCTTGTTGTGCTGTGTGCATTATTATTTCAAGTAACGAGACTAAATCACGTCTCAAACGGATTAAAGATTGTTCTTTCAACAATTTGTCTTCGACATACAAATTATCAAATCTAGGATGGTTGAAAAAACAATAAGAAGCGATTTTGATGCTTGACAAGACAATATCAAAAATGGAATTTCCATTGATGTCGGGAATTCCAACCGTGTTCTTGGCTTCTTCGCATTCTTCGAACAAGTCAAGAATATGCGTCAATTCATCCACACTCACTGGTTTTGGGCTCGCCCTTTCCAAAAATTCTGTGGCTAACTCTGGATATTCATTTACGCAGGTTTGTGATAGAGCCTGTCTAATGATTGTTTTTATCATGAACATAAGTGGAGTTTCGTCCAGGTCATTTCTCACGTGACAAACATCACAACGTTGAACTAGAAACTCGAACACGTCGGTATTGAAAGCATAGTGCAATGGTACGTGTCCAGTATTGTTTGCTAGCCGTAATTGAGCACCAAATTGTAGTAACTGTGATGCAATTTCTATTTCATGGTTAGGATTAGGAAGAAAAGCATCCAAACTTTCATGAACTGTGGTCGATGTGGACAATGCCCATTCATGAATCGGCGTGTCGCCAATTTCGTCTTGTGCCTTTACTAATACAGTAAGCCCATTGGAAGATAATTCTTGGGATAAAACATCCAAGATCGATTTTCGGTCTTCAGCAGTCCATGCAATTGGTTCAACTTTTTCATTTCCAAACACCAAATCTCCATTGCTGTTTTTCTCTGCACGCATTCTTCCAGCAATTACGTGTAAAATATTTTGATCTTTCCGATTCGTTTTCAAAGCCAACTCCTCGCCTCCAGCTTGCAACAACAATCGAACAAGGTTTGGTGTGGTTGCTCCTGGTGTACCGACAAGAAAATGAAATGCAGAATTACCGGTATTTTCACAACAAGCGTTAATCAGGCCATTGGTTTCGATTAATTTCCAGGCTTGAATTAGAAGCATTTCGCGATACTTGTTATCATACGTAAGCCGATATGATTCATTTGGATTAACCATATATACAAATGAAGACCACGTTGTTGGTTGATATGGGTCGATCTGTGTCGTCCAGGACTGTGTCGTCCAGGACCAAGTCAGAGACTGGTGAGACAAAACTGGTGACGAACGTACAAATTCCGGTCCTTTAATCCCAACTAAATGCACAAGTTCACTGCCAACCCTTCTCTCGAATTCTTGGCATAATTGTTGACCAGTAAGGCACGGATTTTGGTCAGCAATAATAAACAGGATTTCGTTGGCTACCTCCACGCCAAAGTTTCTGAATACTGGCATAAATGGGTCTACGACTACGGTAGATACTGTCCTCAAGTGTAAACCAGACATGGCATCACTTAATACGCCTGCCATGGTACGTCTAAATATTAAATACGCGTTATACAATTATACTTTTGCACATACCGAGTTAAAGTTTCGCTTTCTCAACCTTGGATAAACTTGGATTTACTGTATACGTTGATCATATATTTCTCGCAGCAACTGATAAAGCATTAAGCGAGCATGCACGAGCATGTTTGATATGAGTCATATGACTCTGACACGACTACAAGTGTTTGAATAGCTTCAAACACGACGAGAATAGACGCCGTCTCATACTGACATTAGTATTCTTTATATGAAGAATACTAATTAGGATGGACTTTTATATAAAATACAATGCCCCCCGTGCCGATGACCCAAGTACCCAACGGCTGGAATCGTGCCATATTATGGTTGAATTGTTAAAAAATCGACTAAATATTTTACCAAAAGTAAAATATTTTACCAAATTTGGCACACTGCCAGTGGCGGATTTGGCTTGATTTGTTAGACGGGGTGAAGGTTTTACAGAGGGAAACCCAGAACATATAATATATTCCAGTTTTAATTAAAGCGTTGTTGACATTTCTTAAGCCAGTTGGATTTAGGAAGACTGATTTTGGAATTTTGAATAATTTCGTAGGAAAATCACTGTATTGTGTTTCCGCCAGGCTTTCTGCCAATAGGCCAGGTCAAGACTTAGCTAAGATATTTCCGTTACCCCCAAAGTCTAGGCAACCTAAAGCCGAAATTAGCGAATTCTTACAACTGTATAACGACACCAGGCATTTACTAGCACTACAGCCATAAATTGATTGGCATACAAAACGCGTGGGCAAGCAAAACGGAGGAGATCAAGAAAATTCTGGCAGAACTGCATGGCACATGCTGTGAAATTAATCGGTGTCGGAAATGTGTTAGATTAATGTCAGCCTATACCCCTTGCAGTTTGCCATAAAAATTCCGACAAACTTTGATATTAAGGGTTTCAAACGTTCACTGGTTAAAATATTTGTATAAATGTTTGAATAAATGTTTCATTTGTCCTGTTTGCAGATGATACAAACGCATTCTATTCTAATTCCAGCATTAATATATAGCAAACGGAGACGATGCAAAAAGAGATGAATGAAATGGTTAAGCACAAATAAGCTCTATATAAATACAACTAAAACAAAATTGATCCTTTTTAGAGCACGCAATAAAAAGCAACTATTAAACTGAAATTGATATTAAAATAAATGACCAGTCGATCGAACAGGTGAAATGTACAAAATTCCTGGCTGTTCTAATCGATGAAACACTCACGTGGAATAATCACATTGGTTCAGTTTTAAAAAAAATATTTAAATCAACCGGAATTATTTCCAAAATTCGGCATTATACGAATCAAAATACATTAAAATAACTATGCCCTTGTCTATCCTTATCTTACTTACGCTAATTTTATAGCTTGGGGTATTAAACACGTACCCTTCAAAATTGCAAAGATTGATGAGTGTCCAAAAGAAGATTGTGCGTCTAATCACTTTCAAATCGTATTCTGAGCACTTTCAAAACTAATTATGAAATTCATCATCACAATAGTAGAAGTTCCAAAAAACTACATAAAACCTACACCCGAACTAATTATTCATGAAACATACTTTCTCCAATAAAGGAGTAGAAATTTGGAATAATTTGAACGAAGATTTAAAATCCATTAAATTTTACCAATCGTTCAAAAAACAAGCTAAAATTTATTATCAAATACAAGAATAATAATACAGCATTAATCATTATATTCTTCATGGACGTCTAAAGGTAGTAAAACAATGCTTCCATCATCATGCACTCCTAACTTCGTATTGTTGTATATCTATATATATTATTGTAAAACTATATCACAACTTTCTTTAAAATTTTATGTACTATATATTAACTGACAATTTTATAGCTATGAGCTATTGTTTGAATTATTTGCTGTAATAGGGGCCTTGCACTAAAAGCTTCTGAAAGTTTCTTAAACTTAAAGGATCCTATAGCTCTAGTATTCAACTGACGTTATACTTACTGTATATTCTATCTTAATTATGTAAATAGGGCGATTTTTTAAATAAAAAAATATATTTATTTGGACGAGCTTTCGACTGCAAGTCTGCAGTCTTCGACGGATCATAAAAGTGAATGAAGTAATATTTACAGTGCCAGTGGTTTACAATTACAATATACTGCCACAACAGACAATTATTGACAAAGGCAACTATCGACACATATCGACATTAGAATATTGGCACACTGCATGCATTGAAAACTTTGATAACAACTCAAAACATTTGCCAGAACCAGGGACGCCGGAACTGGGGCAGGAAGGGCAGCCGCCCCCGTTGCCCTTTACCAGGAGGGGCAAGGGGGGCAAAGATGCCCTTTCAATTTAAAGGATTGCCTTGGCGAAATAGCGAATTGTCAGAAATGTTAGTGAAATTCTTTTACGTATTTGTTTCAGAAAACGCAAGAAATGCAGTCATCGAGCTTAATTCAAGAATAGCGCAATCGCCTGGCGGAGAACCCCCTCACACCCCTATCATCCAATAAATAGAAAACATGATTAGGCGAAGTTCAACTCCCGATGTTTTGCAAACATCTCTTAGTATATATCAATTCAAAAGTGCCCTTTCACGAAAATCTGCCCCCCCCCCCTTGCCTTCACATCGTTCCGGCGTTCCTGGCCAGAACAATACCGCTTTTTGCTGAAAAAATCCTAAAACTTTAAATTCTCGTCAGTTAATCCACAGTTAATAGAGGTTAATCCTATACGTAGGCGGAACAGTCAATTATATGTTTTTCAATTCTATGATCGTTTTTCCACGCATGGTTGTCATGGTTCGCGATGTTTGAGCTACTTTTATATATTTTTCCACGTTTCTTTTGTGTTCTTTACGTCGTCGAAGACTGCAGACTGACAGTCGAAAGCTCGCCCAAATAAATATTTTAACCAGTGAACGTTTGAAACTCTTAATACGAATCCTGGTTTCGCATGGTTGTCCCCGAGCAAAGCGGAAAATTCGAATGCGGGCGCGAAAGGCTGCTGGGAATCGCTAATAAATTCATTAATTTTTTAGAGATTCTCAGCAGCCTTTCGCGCTTGTATTCGACTTTTCCGCTTTGCTCGGGGGACAACCTTAATTGAAATAGCTGTATACACTGATTTGGTATATAATATGTGATTGGTTAATCAAGTGCATGATCCTCGGCAGAGAATCGGGTCCGTACGCTAACCTCCCTCCCCCAGTTCAATGGATACAACATGACCCCTCAACTGATTTTTTTTTTACCACGTGATTCTGTATAATGATTAAGAAAAGTGCCACGTTATATGGTGACCCGCCGTATTGGTGCTTGACTATTTTCTCGCATAAACTCGAAAATCAATCGTTTCAATATAATGAGTAGTATACACAACTCAAATATGGATTATGGAATACCTGAGTTTTCTGCAAGGAGGTGCTGGACACCACTTGGGGGTAAAATGCATCTGCCCCACCGGTAGATCCGCAACTCCACACGACGCACTTTCATTCTCGCTTGACCTGAACTTAAGCAAAATTAATTACTAAATATTTTTTTTGTATTTGAACCAAATGTAAGTCTAGTTCATGCGAACGAATCAATATTTCCCTTACTTTCAAGGCATTGTGTAGTTAGTTAGTTAGACTTTAAACAACATTTACATAAACCTTTTCAGTGAAAAATACACTTTAGATTTTCCAACTATGCCGTTCAATACTTATACTATATTATAAATCGGTTCATGAACAGGTCTAATACTGCATTGTTTATTTTCAGCGTTCGCGAGTACTCTGGCAAGAAGTTCTAAGCTTTTCCAGTTTTGAAAAGTGTAAATACTATACTAAATAGAGTGGTTCGAAGAACAGCAGTTGAAGACTGACAAGATCCCTCGTATTTTTACTACACCTATATCACAGACAGCCCATATACCACTGATTTTAATCCACATAGAGTCTTAGTTACATTTTTTGTCTCTTTTAGTTATGTATTCATAGCGAATTATATTAAACCTGGCGTAAAAAATCATTGCGTGCTAAAATGGCGGAATCCGCGGGGAAAACGAAACTCCTTTTGATCATTTTGAAACCTTAAAATACAAATGCTCATTGGTTGATAGTCGCACTTGCCTGTTCGAAAGTTACCCTAATTTTCTTGTACCTTCTCCCCTCTCACTAAACGATTGTTTCATAAAATACTAGTATTTACTTGACTTTTATTCAGTCTACTACATTGAATTTTTTATGTGTACAATTACGTATGCAATTACACAAAATGTCATTCTAAAATCTACGATCTCCTTTTGTAGTTCTACTGTTCGACGTAAAGCTTGTTACTATAAGACTAAATATTCCATTGTAATCTGTCTTTGATTTTTACGATTCGTAAAACGTGTCTATTATATATAACATTATTTACTACAGTCTGTAATGTAGGCATAACTTTACTGCCAACTGGTAAACCAGAATTCTCCGGTAACAATGCGTCGTTAAATCTTGGATTACCGAACCTCTAAGGCTTATTATAATGTATTTCCAATGACTGATTCAATCAGACCACAGACTTACCATTTAGATTTGTAATATAAAAGATTTCGGAATACAACTACATTTTCAGGTTATTTTTCCATACAAACCCTTCTAAAAATATCACAAGCCTGCGCTTTTAAGACACTGGAAATTCATTGTTAATTTGAATAATTAAATGCATAGAAAAGAAAAACTTTCATACTATAAAGGGTGGACCATTATACTGTAGATATCCCAGGGGGGGGGGGACTTTCTAGCCGAGGTAAGACTCTGGGTAGGAGGTTGAAATTTTCCTTGCAAAAAGTTTTTTAAGTTCGGATCGTTTCGAAAATTTTTACGGTGTAGTGACTGTGCATGAATTTT